GAGACATTTTGCCAGTAGAACAAGAGAATTTACTTAAAATAAGAAAACACAATTGCATTGTCTTATTTCAAGTGCATATTATCTAATTATCTTATTTTAAGAGTAAAATTACTCATTCCATTGGCAAACTATCTCATTTACCTACTCAAATTAAGGGTGAATACACTTAATTTAAGAAATTTGTTCTTATTTCTAGATTGTTTTTGCAGTGCTGGACATGAAATGTTCTTCACAGATGCTCCACATCTAATCCGATTCACTTTGAGCCCTTTTACCAGGAACAGTAAACACAGCCTTCTGTCTGAAGATGTGCAGAGCTGATGGAGAGTAAAGATCTGCAGCTTATTGCAGAGAATGATGGTTTTCAGAGATGGATCAGCTTCACCCACTACTGTCTGGTTAAAGTTTGATGGAAAAACTCTGAAGTTTAGTAAGTTAAGCTTTTTAAGATGTGAAATCAGATCATTACAGATGAATGTTAGCAGAAAGCATCATGAATAGTTTGTTTGTCAGCATGTTGTTTCCTGTTCCTCTCATTTTACACCATGTTTGACGTTCTTCTGAATCCCAGATGCTGAAACACTCAATGTTGCTGCTGTGCCCGGAGAAATGAACCCTAATAGCTGACAGATTTTTTTATTACTTCTTTGATCTTCAGCTTCTTGCCTGTTTGTTGTGGCCCTTCCTCCTCCTCCACCTCCTCCTCCTCGTTTCCTCCTCCTCTCCACCGGCGCTCAGAGAACTGACAGCGTGCGCAGGCAGCAGCAGCATCCCTGTTTGATCAGGTCCAGCTGAACATCGGCTAAATCCTGTTCTCTCTAACTGTACAGGGGCCACGTTCATTATGTATTAACTCTGATTCTGGGTAAAAACAAAGCTGACTTTCTCTGTATTCCCTTTATTTTGGAGAAACAGAAATATAATAAGCATTGATTGTTATTTAAGGAAATTGTTGACCTTCCTCCTGGAATAATGAACTGTTTGATGGGTTTTTTCTTTAATGTGGCTCATAAAATAAACAGCTGCTGTTAGATGAACCTTTCCCTTCACTGTGTATCAGTGGGACAGAAGCGATTGTGTGTTTTGGGGGGGTGTTGTAGGTGGATTGGTTGATGTGATTAATGCTGATTCTTTGTGTTTAACATGTTGTATAACTCCAAATAAAATTTGCAAGGAAAAACCTGATGGGAAAGTGTTACGGGTTAAGGATTGAGCTGTTTTGAAAAAACACTGAAGCTGCAGCTGGTTTCTTTTTTCTTTTTTTAGTACTTCATTTTTCTGTGCAAAGAGGAGGATGAAATATTCAAGATGTTAATATTTCAACATGGAGAGGTCATTTACCAGACGTTTCTGTTTTCTTCCTCCCCTCCCAGGGAGCTGCCGTGAGAAACTGTAGACCTCCTCCTTCTGAGAGAGTTTCTCCTCTGGATCTCATGGCTGAAATGGTACGTAGGATTTATCTGAATTCAACAGATCATAGCTTAAAATAATGACGCTGAACGCTTGAAATGCCATGCTGGAGGAGATGTCATCAAGCATTAATTAAATGTATTAGGATGACGATGATGAAGATGATGATGATCTGCTTGTTGCATTTTTCTGCTAATCAAAATAAAAAAAAAAATGCTGTTATTTATCTAACTTTGTATTTTTGTTGTATTTGTTAGTGATAACTTTCCACATTGTCTAACTCCAGACTCATTCTATAGCTTTTCCAGAAGATTATATTTGAACCTTTAAGTGTGGCACTGTTGCATTTGCTTGGTTGTTCAGTGCACGTTGATGACAATCAGCAGGTGATGCAAAAAATGCAAGAACATATTATCTTTTACATTTCTTCTTTGGACAAAGCTTGTTGTATTTTCCCTGTCCTTGGTCCTGATCTTTAGTTCAGGAACACACTGGGTTTTGTTTATGATCTGGCTCTACAGCCCAAACGCTCCAGCTGCAGTCTGTCAGCAGAGAGTTTTTAAGGTAATAAAGTTGGAGTCCTCTGATAAAAGCTTGCTGTCCCAGTTGTTCATTTTAACATTACTAATGGTGTATTAGTTGTGAGTGATGTAATTCTGGTCACACATGGAGCTCGATGTGGTGAAAAGTAAAGGTTCTCTGATTCACTGTTCAGGTCTATGCTGCAACTGAAATGAATTTATTTTTAGAACAGCGGCCTCTGCTAGATAAAACCTGATCAGATAAAGTTTATCTCATCAGACTCATTGTGCACCTCAGGAGCAAGTCTGTTTATTAGCAAATATTAATCCATTAATAATTGATGAAATTGATAAAAAAGAATGAGTTTTCTTAGGCACCGCCAGCAAACCAGAAACTTACAGTCGGAAACATCTGCGCTCCTCAATGATCTCTACAATAAAGGTTTGAATTAGAGATTTACTAACAGGAGCTGTCATACAGAACTGAGAATGATGGCTGAGCAGCTGCAGGATTTAACAATCAGAATAGCTTGAGATGGTTTATCTATGCGGAAAAACTTTTTATATGGAATTTAAAAGCTCACATGCAGATCAAAAACAAAGGATGTCCAATATATGTCTTAGCTGGTGATGCATCACTTTAATTCAATTCAATTCAGTTTATTTATATAGCGCCAAATTAGCAACACGTCATCTCAAGGCACTTTACAGTTCAACCAGATCATACAGTCAAATTGATACAAAGTTTTCTATCTAAGGAAAACCAGTTGATTGCATCGACTCATTGACTCAAATACAATCCCTCACACTAAGCATGCTTGTAGCGACAGTGGAGAGGAAAAACTCCTTTTTAACAGGAAGAAACCTCCAGCAGAACCAGGCTCAGTGTGAGCGGCCATCTGCCGAGGCCGACTGGGGTTCAAGGAGACAGAAGCAGAGACACAAAAAGCAGCTGTAAAAGGCGGCCCCGTCCAGAAAACACACAGCCTGGGTGGCGAGCTCCGAGCCAGCTCCCATGCCAGAGGATGAAGAGAGCACATCCACTCATTCACGGTCAGAGAAACAGGACCACACAGGAAAACAGGCCGATCTCCAGCATCTATAAACAAGGGTGTTGATGGCAGCAGCACAGCTGATGTTTCTCTCCAGGATGGAGTCACAGCCAAGCAGGAACAGACGAGGCAAAGCTGCTCTGAGGAAAAGCATAGAGAGCAGAACGTTAGAGATTGAACTTTACAGCTCAATGTTTCAGTGGGACAGGCTGACATTTAAACTTGGAGTGATCAATCAATCATTCAGTCAATCAACTAGTCAACCAATCAGTTTTTTTTACTTGACTGAACAATTTCATCATTAACATACAAACACATTATGTGTCATGATTCTGCCATTTGTGAACTTTTTGTTTCTGTTTAGGTTCGTTTTTGAGTTTTCCGTCACACTTTAATTTATGTCATTCTGTGTTTCCTGGGTCATTGGTTTATTTTCCATTTTGTGTCATTCTAGTTGTTTTCTAGTTTTATCCAAGCAGTGTTGAATTTTTTGAGTTACTCTCTGTTGCCCCCTTGTGCCAATCTCCTTTCCCCCAGCTCCCTTCTAGATCCTTCTATCCATACCTGCTCCCTATCAGCTGATTGGCCCATTCTTTGTTCTGTTTCCCAAATATACACCTCCTGCAGTTCATCATGGCTGGATTCTCTTCATTACTTCATTAATGGCTGATTGGAACAAAACAAAGTTGAAGATTAACAGAATATTGGAAGATTTTACATGACCATGGATGATTATTTAGAAAAATTTGTATAATTCTTTTGGGGGAGGGGGGTTGGATCATAAACTTAAAAGAAAATATTCTCTAAAAATTGTGAAAACTGAATTAACCCACTAAATTTACTTAAATATATTTTACATACCAAAAGACAAAAACTAAATTGGTAGAAATAACAAATTACCAAAAAATTTGCATAAATGGCCACAACAACCACATCAGATTCAAAAAATGTTCTTAACTTCAGTAAATGATCCTCATAAACCTGAAGCAGACAAGCTGTGTGTAAGTGAGGTGCGTTCCTGAGAAATATAAATATAAATCTGCATAATTACCCCAATAAAACCATAAAATGCTACGACTTCCCCTGCTGTCAGAAGGTGTTCATTCATTGTAATAGTTTGAAGAAGAAGAAAGAAAACTTCTGGTTTGGAGATCGAGGTTCTGATGACTACGAGCAGAGCCGCAGAGTTAAAGGAGTCAAACAGTTACAGAAAAAAAAAGTTAAACAAAAATAATCGTTTGATCTGAAAACATTCAATGAAAACCACTGATGGAGGCAAGAAGTGCAAATGATTAATATGAGTTCACCATTAACCGACATGACACAACATTCTGCTAAAGCTCTTTTTTAAAAATGTTGATGGTGAAACTCTAATTCGATCATTTTAGACAGACCAAACCAAAACATTACACATTTTATGTATTAATGCAGGCGATTAGCTGCTATGCTGGTAACTGAATGCAAGTCTTAACATTAGAGGAGCTTTGCTGAACTTTCTATCTATTTTCTGCTGCAGACGTTATTTCAATAGTAGCTTTATCTCACATAGAGTCACTGACTGTTTTCTTTGGACGAAATAACAATCAGTGAAACCACATTCCAGCATGCCAGTTACAGGTGTACAGACCCATATTTCTAACATGAGTGAATAAAATGTTTAAATAAAATTAAAAAAAATATTAAATAAAATGTGTAATTGCAGAGCTGCAAAATATAGAATGATGTAGCCTAATGGAATGGACAGTTGCTGCTAAGTAACAACAAATGTTGTCGTTAAGTTTGGATAAGAGCTGACTGATTGATTCCTAAGTAAAGTCTGGAGCGCTCTACTACCAAACTACATTTCCACCAGTTTTAATGTTAATGAAAAAATCCTGATCTGGTTCTTCATTTACAAACAAGGAATTTTATTCATTCGCCATCTTATGTTTTTCAGTAAAAGTTTTCTTTTTTTTCCCAGGGCAATAGGTGTAGACTTATAATACTAGTAAATATTATCCATGTTTTTTATATATTTTACTATTCTCTATCAACTTTAAACTATATTAGTCTTTCTTAGCTTGTTGTATAAACAATGTTAATCTATTCTTATATATCTTCTATTTCATTTCTGTGGATTTTATTGGAAACTGTCATGTTCTTTTTAAGGGATCTGACCCACATGCAGGAAACCACTCAGAGAACCAGAGAAAAGGTTTAACAGGTTTATTGAAAGCACGATGAGTTGGATCCAGGGTAACTCAGAGAGCTGGTGAACTGGAACTGGAAGTGAGAAGGGAAGTTCAGAGTTTAGTTCAGGCTCAGTGGGAAACTTGAGTGATGACTTGCAAAAACAAAGACTGAAACGGGTCTCACGTTTCCACAAAAAGGTGTCCTTCCCAGAATCCAGTCGGTGTGGAATATTCCAGAATTTGGTTGACTCGTTGGAGGGCGGACAGGATTTACTCGGGTTTGGTTGGTTCCTTGAGGAGCGATGGAACTGACTGCCACTTAAATTTCCTGAAGTACTTGATCGGTACGTGTGGAGATTTATCCCCTGCTCAGTGTGAAGCTCAAACAATCCTTTCAGGGAAAGAAGGTCCAAACATCCAGTTTGCATCCCCTGCTCAGTGTGAAGCTCAAACGATCATTCCAGGGGGAGAAGGCCAAAACATTCAGTTTGCAGGATGACTTCCTGCCAAGAGGCAAAGACAAAAACAACAAGATTAGGGCTTAGGGAGACAAAGACTCAGTTAGACTCTGCTAAACTCAGCTTGGCTAGAGTACCCAAAACTGGCAAACAATCTGGCATCGAGGTAGTGGCAGTCAGCAGCTTAAGAGTCCTCAGATAATGAGCCAACCATCTGCAGGTGTGTGGAAGGGCTGACAAGAACCGGGCGCCACCTGGTGGTGGAGGGAGAAAACACAAACAACACACAACCCACACAAACTGGATTCCTAACAGAAACTAAATCTCTATATAACTTATTTTTCTTTTTTACAAATTTTAAGTCCCTTTGTCATCCAGGGTTTTACTGTAACATTTTTGTTTTTGTGACAGACTAATATCAAGCAGTCCTTATCATAGAGCACTTAGCCACATTCACATCCTCCACATATACGAAGGACCTAAAGAGTTAAATTTAAGATTTAAATTATGCAATTTGAAATAGTAATAGTAAATTGCATTTACTAATCTGTTATTTAATGCTGGAATATGAAATATATTTTCAAATCCCATTTCTAAATGAAGAATAAAATATCAAATTCATACATCTGATTATTAAACATTTCTTAATCACACATTTGAAATTGTTATTCCTTATTCCATTTTCAATTTGTATTTTCAAATCCTTTTTGAAATTGCACTTTCTTTTTGCATTACCCACTCAGTTTACCTTTTCCGTGACTCTTCTGGGCCCAAAAATTGTCCCAATGGGTTCCCCTTTTGGATAAATTTGTACGGGACCCTTCTGGTGCCTG